ATTAACCGTTCATGAATTAAAGTTCAATTTTATTATAGATTGCATTTAGACGCAGCAGAACAGCAAGACCTCCAAAAGTGAAAAAGTGCAATCTATAATAAAATTGAACTTTAATTCACGAACGGTTAATCAATAATATAATTAAACTAGTTAAAGTGAACTTGACGCAGTTATGAGCGTAAGTAGGAAGTGACTGAATACAAGTGAAAGTGAAAGCATAACAAGTGACCTGAATTGAAATTCGATTCACAAACTTTAAATTTTTTACACAATTTTAAATTTAAATTTTAAGTTTTGACTTTTAGAACAATTTTAACTTGTGTTTTATGAGAGCTTGATATATTATTGACCGTGAGCCTGAATAAGATACAGGATCGAATAAGTGAGAAGACGAATGTGATTGCGTGTAATTCTACAGCTGTGTTCGTACACCTGAGGATGACCTCTTGAGGTCGAAACATGTAGTGTAATAATAATAAAAATATGTTGTGTGGTGGGGTAAATTGACTCTAATATTTCGACCGAACTCCGTATGGAGATTCAACTAAAATGTGCCGACCTACTGCGAGTTTAGATCATTTTAATGGTTGCATTATTTAAGGTCCTATGTACACTTTTACATATATCATGTGAGTTTTTCGACAGATTTTAATAAAACTTGACATACCGTCATTTTAAGAGCTGTATTACTTAAGAGCCTAGTTAGGCATTTGCCTTTCCTTTGGCTGTCGAAAGATTATGATAAAACTGCGTAATGCCCTTAAATAGTACGAGTATTGCAGCTACCGCTAACATCGATATGTTCGAAAGAATATTTCATTTAAGGACCTAAATGTGTTTTTGGATACGTCTCGCAAGGAATTAACCCGAAAGAAAAATGTATTTGATAAAAATTATAATATACGTAACATACAACTATGTATATACGTGTATTATGCTTTAGGATAATTAAAGGATAATAATAATAATAATGAATAAATACGAGTATATGTATATTTGAAAGTAAGACGATAAATAACCAAGTATTTTAGGTGTTCTTCACGAAACAAACAAAAACTCCGTCCGTCCGTCTGTGACCTAATGTCGGCACCTAAATCCTTGGACGGCTTTTTATTTAATTCGATACGGGAAACTTTAACTAAAAGTTAACACCCTCGATCCGCAAAAGTTGGAACTAATTTACAGATAACGAACTAAATTAGCTGAAAACGTTAATACTCTTATAAGGGTAGTATATGACTGCAGTCGTCCACCCTATGGTAACAACTAGATCTGAAGAAAATGTTGCTCACCCAGTACTCCGAGAGAGAGCCTCAGCATCGTGGAACGGCACAATAATGAAGTGTCTGCAGATACTGTAATCCTTATTGTACCTGTATATGACAAACGATATATCGTTTCAACTAATCTTACTTCTAAACATTCCGTATCGCTTGAATAATGCTTTCGCATTACCGTTAAGCCTCCAGAGCAGGGTCTACAACCTACTGGTCCAATACCACATGCGTCTGTTACGGCCTACTTAGGTGTTGTGGCCTTAAATTGTTTCTGAAATAGCATACTTCCCCCAACACAATGAGCTGTGACCTTCCCGAGAAGATAAGTCATTCACCTGGTCTAGATATTCGACTTTTTAATGAACCCTAAGTTTCTTGACCGTGTTCAAAAGAGAACGCCATTGGTCCCTGTTATGAGCCAGACGAGTCCACTTCGCACTCGCACGTCTTTGTGATTTATTTTGATATCATAATCCGATGCAAGACTAGGGCTTACATGTGCCATTTCCCTTCAAGTTTCCAAACCAGAATTATGTATGCACTTATCTCTCCCATGCAACTGCATAGAGATAAGGTACGGTAAAGATATCTCTGTGCTTAATTAATTAATCATTATGCCATATAGACATACGGGGGAGTGGAGGTATAGCTCCATCATTCCTGCACTCGGCATTAGAAACGAATTGTCAGCTTCACGCCTCGGCTGCTTTATACCCAGGGAAAGAGCCCCCGGTACCCATAGGATACATTGGATGAACGTCACAGCTGGTCTGGACGCTGTAGAGAAAAATTTAACCATGCCGGGCCATCCAGTCCATAACCCATCACTATACAGACTTCTCCATGCATACTACATATCCTCCATGATGTGACTACCTTAATAAAACTTCTTAAGCAGTACGCCCTACAAAGCTCCTCGTCATGCAGTTAGTTTCATTGGTATATTTAACGACACTTTCTTATCCTCAAAGAGTTACAGACGTAGTCCATCTAAAATCAGCGGTATCAAAGTCCTCAGCACCTAGCCAAATGGCCATCCTCTTTAAGTCTGAATTTTGCTTTACATGTGGACCATAGATACGATGGCTCAATTATAAATAAGTAGCACAAGCAGCAAAACTATCATATCATTCAGGCCGCGCCACAGCTCAAGCGGTTAGTCGCTGGCTTCCCACTGCGGCGGCCCGGGTTCGATCCCGAGTCAGGTCAAGTGGGATTTGTGGTGGACGAAGTGGCGCTGGGGCAGGTGTTCTCCATATACTTCGGTTTCCCCTGCCAATCTTCATTCCACCAATTGCTCCACAATCACCCTCACCTATCATCTGGGGCTGGTACAATAGGCCAGAAGTGGCCGCAGTACAATGGACTTAGTCCCATCCCACCCCATCCCATATTATACTTTCAATTAATTAATGCAGGATACAATTACATCAAATGACTTATGGACTGTTGACTGAACTACCATGGTTACTTATATGCTCAAGAAACTTAACAATCTATATTTAAATTAGAAGATTTACAGTACTCCAGAACTGTTCTGCCTCATAAAGTGAAGGAATGCCACTAAAACAGCTGCAAAATGTAGACAAAATTTAGGCTAGTAAGACTGAAATCTGTCAGACTGAAGAAGAAATCACATGCAATTCACATGCAAAGCTATAGAATTTATCATTAACATGCATTTCTTTGCTTGTATGATCATCCTGCACAGTTTCATATTCATATTATATTCACAACTAGCATAATCATGAATTAAATAATTTTATGCAAGTGGAATTAAGTCTTAGCCACAAAAGAAAAACAAAAAAACAAAACCAGAACACTCATTACCTACTGCTAAATTTTGTGCACAGAAAAATAAAACTTTATAACTGTGTTCAACATAAATATATATTTATGACTATATACATGTATATATACAATACACAATAAAATTTAATTCAGTCACTATAATTTGGTTGAGCTGCTCAAATGGTGTTTTGTCATTTTCATACACATTTAGCATTAAAACACATACCTGAAAGAAAATGACACCCTTTCAAGGTAATTTAATACAAAATTAGTATAAGACAGGAAGGGAGCTTCATTAGAACAAGGCCCAAGAAAGAAATATTAGAAACTATATACAAATCTTCTATCCATATTGCTAACATTATCAAATTATGTAATCATGTCATGTAAAGACTTCCTGCTTATACTCGTAACATGTGATCTGGGTGTATTCTATGATTGGAGTAGATTTCAGACAAACTGAACAGTAATTTGAAACTTTCTCAAACAAAAACAATGGCAATTAACGACTTGTGTTTCCTGGTCATCACCTATTATATGGTTCTGCACACCAATTAAAACCTAAATAATTATACTTGCACAGAATTTTTAACAGTTTTAACTAGGTTTTGACCATTGTATACACTTAAATTTCCTAACATGCAGTGCTTTAAATAGAGCAGCACACAGGAAGTCTCCTCCCATCACAATACCACTTTGTTACAGATTCACTAATTACAAATATGGCGTGATGAAGATTACCTTAAAGCTGACAATACTGGGAATATTTTAGAATTAAGTGAATATGTTATTATCCAAGAAATGAAATGAGATCTACGTTTAAATACCTGCCTAAAATAGTAACATTTTTATATTTGAGGTTCTCATGGTGGTGACTATGGAAAGTACCATCTTCTCATATGCGACACTGTGTAGTGTGGTTTACAAATATTCTGGTGGAATGTACTACCTCTGTCTTCAGGGATGAAGAGTAAAGCCAGTAAGCAAAGAAGCAGCAAGCACCAACAAAAGTGCTCTGCTTTCTGCCCATTTGTTTTTTGCCAAGTTCAATCCTGAACGGTGAAGATGGAGACAGTACATTCCTCTTGAACACTGGCAAACATCTTCCACATTACATGACACCATATCCCAAAAGATAAGTCTTCAAGAGAATTCTTCATGTTACTCAAATTATTCTGTTATAAGACTGTCTTCCAGAAAAGAAACCAGCTCTCCAGATATGCAACTTAAACCTAGTAGGCACTTCAGAAAATGCACTCACCAACAGATCACTAGTACTCTCCATACAAATACTTTTATCTCACAGCTGGCATCTTATAATTTGCCCACGGCAAGTGGCCAACTATATTTCGTAAACCCCAAGGGAAAAACTGAGTCATGCATGACAATGTATGAATGTTCTCAGAAAAGAAAATTAAAGTGTTAAGACATTTCTTATGTTACACCACAGAATATACAAGAATTAAATCAGAATGAGACTAAGAAGTAATGTCACACCTACATGCCTACATGTATACAATATTAGAGAAAGATTTACTCTGAATAAGAGAAATATAATGTCTATGAAAAGTGTAATTCCAACCTAACTATAATATTTTTTATGAAAAACAGAAGAGTTACAAAGTAAAATATTATAATAATATTGGATAATCATTGTCGAACATTACAATACTAAATCAAAGAGTCCAACATTTCACATATGAATTATAATTTACCAGAAAAATTACATATTTATCTTAACAGTAGTCCCTTTGTAGTTCAGTCTATTTCTTTCATGCTTCAATATATCACAGAAAATTTATCTTCTTTGAGTATGATTATAGGAATAATTAACACAAAAGTCTTTTAAATTTAAAATGACATGGGCACCTACCAAAAAGCATGATTTCTGTTAATACAAATATGTTGGAGAAGATGTGCAAATGCCTGTGCACCATCAATTTCTTTGGGAATAACACTACAAACATTTGTCTGACTACCTTTAAAAATGACTGTTTAGCATCTGTTCTTCACATAATGTTGCTGTAGAAAATACCACATTCATGGCAGTTTCATGCAAGGATATTGTTATGAACCTTTTAGAGATCATTGCCCATTTTACCCACCAAATTCAACCCCATATCACAACAAAACATATCAAAGAAATTTTTTATGAGGTACAGTTCAGTATGTAATATGTAAAATATTTTAAACTTACCAGTCCTATTCTTTCCTTTAAGTCATCTCATTTTCACATATTCATGGTAATTACTGTTCTGACAATAACAAGACTGGTGAGAGGACACTTTGTCTCATTCCAGTACTCGACTAGATCAACCCCAATCTTCTTCAATTTTACAGTATTAATTGTGATTCATAATATAATATATAATGCTGAACTCAGTTTATATGCACTTCTCTCAGAATATTTCTATAGTGGCTAATATAAATCCTAATTGAAAGATATTTTAATATTCTATCTAATGCATGGTGATGAAGAGTTATTACAGATGCTTCATGATGATTGGAATCACCAACGTCTTCTAGATTCATTACAGTAAAGTTCAAAGAACTTAACCGTAAGACCTCTTGTGAGAAAACATTTACATACAATTTTTCTTGTGGTTTACAGGGACATGCAAGGGATGAAAGGTTTATGGAGTTTGGTTAATCCAGTAGCTGACTAAACCATAACTTGACAAGTGAGAAGTGATTATGTAGCAGACAATCTACATATGTTGCATCACATCTAGACTCGTTTCTTTCAAAATAATTACATGCAAGACTAAAGAAACATTTCAAAATGCCACACAGAATTCTAAACTTCATGCATCATTCAATAACATACTCATCACTTTGAAGTAAATTTGAACTTTATCTCATTTTGCAAATGCTCTCTTAACATTGAGAAGGGAGTCAGTCAGTACAATGCTGTCTACTGTACACGCCACTCATTTCCTTTCTTTAGATAATTTACACCCTACTTTCAATTAAGGGTAAAAATGGAATATAATAAATTAATGAAACTTTGGTTCTGTGTCTGCTCTTCCATGTTCTTCTGTTCTTACAATTTCTGTACAATATTGTCATATACATATTTCTCTTTTAGAATGAGATATGCAGCAGTTAAGCATACCATATGGATTAGAAACCATTCATGACTACATATATTACTTTGAGTATACAGTAACATTAGTATTTTACTAGTCACATTCATAAAATGAATGACATCACAAACTGAAGAATTACTCCAGTATTCTAGAAATACCATTATCTCTGAACTTTTGGCTAATGAACACAATGTACGTCATGTTTTACACATCACACTATACTAATAACAAGGGAAACTATGCTAAGGAGATTTAATCTGTGATCTGCTGGGTTATGCCATGCAGTGCTATTTGCACTTACATATCTAAGACTGCATGGCATCTAAACCCAGAAGACCCCAATTAAACTTCACTGCCGTGAAATCTTCAATCTCCCATATATATGGAATTTAGAGGGTCTGTCATTCGTTGACTTTTTCTCCATGCACCTCAGACAATGAGAAATGGAAAATGATGA